GTTTGCTGATGTTTTCTGGCCAATCCTCTTATGATGACAACCAACATCTAGTGTAAGAGCCCTCAATGACATGCCAGCATTCTGCATACCAATAACTTGCCATCGTGGCGCATTTGTCAGTTGAAGAGGCTCCAATATGCTTATCAACAACGACATCAATTGATTTTCCAAGTTTTCGAGTGACGAACAAAGACCATATATCCACCATTTCGGACCACTTCGAGGCTCGCCCATATCACAACGTTCTTTGGAACAGCAGCAAACGAATTCACCTGCAATGAGGCCTACCGCCAGATCAGGAATGGAGTAGAAACCATTCACATCAACAGATTCCAACCATCGATTATCAGAGACCATTATTCTCATTTCTGCAACACAGTCATTAATCACTTCCTTGTTAATTCTGCATTGTGTACACATTAATCCTTATTGTGTAAACATCCATCTCTGAGTTTGTAATCAGCTATGTACATCATTAAAGTAACTTTACCCATGCATATAGATGCTTTACCCACAGTACTGTACATTACTTTACACATAAACCTTCAATGCCTCAGGTATTTTTTCTAATCATAACCGGCCATCTAGGACGCATATACTTCAAAGTAACCAACATATACTAATCTAAATCACCAACACAGCCTAACCAAAAACAATAGCAACCAATACACCCCGTACTTCGTTCCCTTCCACCACTTCTGGCACATTTCAAAATTCCCGTCATTCATTTAATGATTAAGTATCGCACACACCTCTAAATGTCTCTCAAGAATCCTTGTAGGCGTCTGCATAAACGTTTGTAAAATATGAAATCTTCAGAAATTGCTGTTACGTCATTTGGATTCATACCCTAAACAAAAGTAATTCAGTTCACAGCAAATCCTAGCATAAGGGGACGCCAAGGTGCAGTTTTAGAAGGTGTAGATGTAACCACTGGATTCAAGTGAACAACTACATGATGCTTTGCCAATTTCTGAAAGTCAAACAAAACGAAATCTTGCCATGAGACCAGTCACACGTGACATACTCCTCACAGTCACCAAATATATCCCCGACCGTATGGTAGCTGTTCATAGCCTTAATCTTAATCTCTTGACGTCTGAAGAACAAGGGCATGTCAGAACACTCAACTCAACTTTCTCTTGTACCACCAAACGTGGTTATCTGAGAATAACCTGAACTGAACTGCAGAGCCGAGAAAAGAAATGTTAGAATTGGCAGCCGTAGTAGAATCTCTTTAGGACAAGTGCTTTATACGGCAATACCTTGGTATATTTATCATCTCATCCTTGTGTATGAGGCGCACACGTCCTGACTGTAATGTCGTTCTTGCAGTTACCGCAATTCATTAAGAAAGAGACAAGAGGCCAAAATGAAAAATTATACAAATTATTTTTAAAAAGTGCATAATGGGACAGGAATCAGGGGACACGCCATCAATAGCAAGTGTGACCACTCTGGGCATCCGTACACGTGAACACACATCTCCTTATTGACGTCGCCAGTCGGCGTAAGCAGGAGACCTGTTAAATAAGCCCAAGAGAGTCTGTTCATGTTCCTCTCGGTTCGCTGGAAGTGGTCCACGCTGTCTCAGCTGACGATCACGATGAGATGTTTAATGGGGTTTATGTCTGGAGAACGTACTTGCCAAGACAATGCGTTGGCGTTAACGCTGTGCATGTATTCTCGAACAATTCATATAAGTCCCATTTCGTTCAAAGTATGTTAAAACTTTATATCTGTCATCGTTTTAATGGCAGAATATTTGTTCTTTTAGTGACAGGCTAAAATTCCAAACACTTGAAGGGATGGTGTAAATCCAACTGGGGTCAATGCAGGAAGCAAAAGTATTGTAAGTCCCCATGGTCCCTGGTATGGTGTTTCTACCTTCGGTTGTTGGCGCTCAGTAGCCTGTTTTATTTTGTATTGTTTTCTGTAGTAATAGATTTTATTACAACATACTAGTTTTAGCCCAAATATGTGATATTCTTGTATTTTTACTGTCCTTCGACGACAGGTTTATATAATATAGATTTATTCTGGTTTAATGTATAAATTGTTCTCGTCACGATATGGCTGAAATACTGCTGATGTGACGTTCAATATTAAGTCACTCACACACCCGAACAATTTGAGTTGTTCTACAAAATGGCTCCTCTTGGATCGAATATAGGGCACCACAAAAGGTCTCAACACTTCATCCTTGTATCGCTGGGCATTCAGATTCCCTCTGATGATAACCACTTTTGTTGTTTCTGGCCACAAATGACGCCGCATTCCATGACAATTCCCCCATCGAACAGAAAACCCTCTTGAACTCTCCTCTACGTCGAAAAACTTGAACTCTGCCATCGTTTCTGAACGGATTGAACCGAATTTCAAATGCGCTCTCTCCCAGTAACGTCGCTGCCATCGACGTACAATTCGTGCCCATAGCAGTCTGCGTTGATTGTGTGGATGGGTCAAGGCCATTTCTCGGAATACCAGCCATACCAACTCGTCCAAGGACTGTTCGTCTGCTGATGGTGTGTCTTTGTGCTGTCGCTGCCTTTGACGTCGCCGTCACCGTCACGAATCTGTTCCGGAGCTGGATCTGCCGGACGTAGCGGTCTTCGGCAGGTGCCATGACTCTTGGTCTTCCAGATCTTGGGCGGTCTTGGGTCTGGCATGTTAGTGTTAGCGGTTTATCAATTTGCTGGTGGTGGCTTGGCTGCAGTTGAAGGTTCTTGCCAACCCCCATATTGGTCATACCGATCGTGCTCGCAGCGCTTGCGTGGCATATTCGTGGTATCATGCACATGCATTCGGACAATGTCCCACAATTACGTTTTTATTGTTTTGAAAAATGCATGATTCGCACGAAGTTTTCGGACAGCAGCGTTGTTATCGGGACCATGTTGGGTTCTGGAATGTTTCCTGCTTGGGTTCAAACCTGTACCAGCGTTTTGGGGGGTTATACAATTACTTCAAAAGTGGAAACTTTATTTTGCTTGGTAGCTTATGATTAGTTATTCTCACTGTATGACTCAAATATTACCAATGTAATGCATGTGTTTCCCTTTTAATCATTATTATGAATGCATGAATCGAACGTGCTGAAGTAGGGGTTAAGCAAAGTATCTAAACGGAACGTGAACAGTGCTACACGATTTCTCTTCCTTCTGGACGCCACTGATCGTCCCACTCCCCATCTCTCACCGATAACGCACGTTGCCAACGTCTCAATCTCCATCTTTTACACATAACCCACGTTGTCAACGTCCCACCCTCTATCTTTTTCCCATAACCCATGTTGCCAACGTCCCATACCCCCTCTTGCACCTGGGCCCCACTTTTTCAACGTCCCACTCTGCATCATTTACCTGGGCCGCACTTTTTCAACGTCCAAACTCTCCATCATTTACCTGGCCCCACTTTTTCAACGTCCCACTCTCCATCATTTACTTTTAACTCACGTTAATATCCATCTATTGCCGATAGTATTCCACTCTCTCTCTCTCTCGCCAATGGAGACGCCATTACCGAACTGCCAGTCTCGTGACTGAGTATTTGAGGTCAGATCTCAACTTTCCACTGATTGTTAAAAACAATTTGCAATAAATCTTCAATGCTGGTTAATCACACGTTATCCCTTAGTTTTCCACCTGCATGGTCCAAATAATACGTTACAATATCAGAGATGTCAGATGCAAGAAAACTAAGACCACCTTGATGTGTATTATTGATAGGCTGAAAAAGGCATAATGAGTTGTAAATTGGTCCACGATATATACTGAAAGCCATTAAAAACGCAATTGGTATTTGTTGTCCTGAAACTTACAAAAGTTCTATTGAAGATGTTTTCCTGCGATACAGAGGATGTAGGAATAAAAGGCTGTTATTCTGGCCCATTTCGAGTTCGAGTCCCGGAGCATTCCTCTCACATGAACTTTGATACTTAAAACTGAACATTGACATTTCTCGTAAACACAACCACATTCATGAAACACGTTGTGCACATGCATTACCTGCACCCAGGCCCTGTAAAAGCACAAGGAATTGTGGAACTCAATCACTTTGAGAAAATGCCACACTTGACACAAGACGAAAGGAATCAGGTTATCGGTATGGTCAGCCAAGGTGCTTCAGATGATGGCCAGGAACTTTAATGTGCATCCATCCACTGTAAGTCGACTCAGACAACGTTTTCGGGCTACCGGAAGTGTTGCTGATCGTCCGCGATCTGGTGCACCACCTGTGATAACAGCTCGACAAAACCACAATATCCGAGTTTCACACTTGCGAAATCGGTTCCAAACATCTGATGATGAGGCAAGGAGGACAATTGGGACAAGTCAACGTCATTTCAGCGCCCAAAAGGTGCAAGGACGCCTTGCTGCCTTCAACATCCGGTGTCGTCACCCGTACCGTGGTCCAACCTTATTGCATCGCCACAGACTTGCCAGACAGCGACGGGCAGCAAATGGGGCCAATCTTGGCAACAGGACATGGCCAGATGTCATTTTTTCAGATGAATCCAGGTTTAACTTATCCTTTGCAGATGGACGTCAACAGATTTATCGACGTAAAGGAGAAAGACTTGCGCCAAACTGTGTCCTTGAACATGATCGTTTTGGAGGGGGTGGTGTCATGATCAGACCACAGACCATCAGAGGCTGCAGACCATCCAACAGCTGTTCCTGAGAAATGTGTGTCTTTCAATGCCCCAAAGACTGCGAGCATGTCTTGCAGCGCACGGTGGACACACACGACATTGACTGCAAGTGACCCCTCCTTTGTGTGATGTCGTTGTTGCGTCACTGCTGTTGTTGTTGACTGGATATTTTCAGATGAAATTATTCCCAGATGTTCACTTAAAACATATCTGCCTGTTAGGTTTATATATGTTGAAATTAGTGTGAGTAAAGAAAGTATGAATGTCAAATTGCATTTTTAATGGCTTTCAGTATATTTCTTTTTATTCATGAAGGTATTGAATTTAAAAACTGACATAAGATAAATTGTGTGCAACTATTTTATTCTATTGTAACAAGGGTTGTAATTGACTCCCAGCGACTTCCTCCGAAGGTTGAAGAAATTGTTATTGCGTTAAGCATCTGTGATGAGACATCATCTGAAAATCAAAATTATACGACAGATTAGCATCAGTGTTAACAGGAGGGCACTGTATTTTGACTGAAATGCGATTAAATAAATGGGCACTGAATCCAATGTTGTGAGTAGTTCATCATACTTGGAACCAATGTCGTGTCAGTTGGAATGTAAGATTAGAAAAAAATCTGGGGCTCATTAAAGGTTCGATTAAACGTCGATGACATAAGATTAAAATTACATGTTACACCACATACCATAAACTTGCTGCATATCAAATTTCATAATTTCACATTCGATGAGATATGTATTCCTCAAATATGACACTTTCAAAATGTCCACAGTGGCAGTGGCGTAAAACTGAACTCACCCACTACAATTATGTTAACACTACCGTGACAAGCATTCTGATACTTACCTTGGCTATCCTTGACAGCAGGTATACCGACCATCAAGTGTTGGGTCCAGTAGACTGACACAGTCGTCGGTCAACACACCACTACCGCATAGAGTTGCCACTAAGTCGTTACGGACGCATCGTTGAACACAAGGGGTCACTGAAAATGAAGATTAACAACCACGAGTAAACATTTGGTTCTCTGACTGTAGTTATACCAGTTTACCTCTCAGACGAAACACGCACTATGTTAGATACATCTCAGACGAAGCACGCTCTATGTTAGATACGTCTAGACGAAACACGCTCTATGTTAGATACATCTCAGACGACACAAACTATATGTTAGATACCTCTCAGACGAAACACGCTCCATGTTAGATACATCTCAGACGAAACACGCACTATGTTAGATACGTCTCAGACGAAACACGCACTATGTTATATACATCTCAGACGAAACACGCTCTATGTTAGATACATCTCAGACGAAACACACTCTATGTTATATACATCTCAGACGAAACACGCTCTATGTTAGATACGTTTCAGACGAAACACGCAGGATATGTAATTACCTCCGACGTGATGTATGACCGACACAACTTTACCCGGCCAATGTTCCAGACAATACCAACGATCAAACAAAAGCTTATAACGCACAGAATAGGTGGTACGATGCGGAAGTATGTTCTTACGGAACGTTGGATCAGCGATCTCTGGTCCTTGAAGTGCAGTTTGTGTTGTTGTAGGGGTTGTTGTAGGAGTCGTTGTAGGCGTCGTTGTAGGCGTCGTTGTAGGTGAGGCCGCTGGAGGGACAATGCAATGACCTTGGCTATAAGTTTAGGTATTTACAAATACACAACTGTACGGGTACAGTAAACGTTTACAAAGTTTCACGCAATCATATATATATTATGAAATATGGATTCATGTTTCAGTTTCAGCCTAAATTGTTGCATAGATATATGACGTGTGACGCCTATATTTCCGTTTGCGTAAATACTTGTAAATTTAGAAGTTGTACATTAAATGTAATCAAAAATTGAAGTTAATCTACACATGAAACACATTAATTAATAAATAAAAACCTAGTTGGAAACGTACAAATAACCACATCATGATGCAAATATATTTCAGTATTGGAATACTTATTATAAATATATTTAGTTTTAGCTATAAATTTGGCAAAATAGCCATTATGATGAACTAAAGTAATCAGGCAAGATTATTCCTATATTATGTACAGAAAACCTGACAGTGTGTTTATGACCTTGCTTTGGTTTGGATTCCTTACAAAATGGCTGACTTCATGGTTTCTTTGATCTTTACTAACGCTCAACAACCAGTCGTATCTGTGTCTGTGTCACTGAATGAATTAATGAACGAATAACTCACTTGTAACAAAGCACGAAGCAGTCAGTTCTGCTATGGAATTTGTGTCATTGAATGAATGAATGAATGAATCAATGAATGATCGAATGAATTAATGAATGAATGAACCACTCAGTTGTAACAAAGCACGAAGCGGTCTGTTCTGCAATGGGATATGTGTCATTGAATGAATGAATGAATGAATGAATGAATGAATGAATGAATGAATGAACCACTCACTTGTAACAAAGCACGAAGCAGCCTGTTGTGCGATGGGGCACACGATCTGATGTGCCCAGGCGGTGATGGATGAACAGTGTTGGGTATAGAAGTCGGTGATGTTCGAACACTGGAAGCCTAGAACCGTCTCACTGCAAAAGCCGTATTTCGACACAGCGTCTTTACTGTTAAAGGAAAGCCTTCTCTCACTGAACACCAGTTACATGACGAACAGTTGCCAATGGCGCTGACAGCATCGCAGATGTTGTTGATATCGTCGTTTGTGAGGGCTTGTGAGGCGGATAGGGTAATGGACAACATCACCAGGAATGTACAAGTCATCACCATCGTGGTCGTCGTCATATTGGTTAGCTGTAATTACATAAAGTACACTACCATTATGACGAACACACTTACAACATATTGACGAATATAAGGAAGTGCTCTTTTGTCCGCGCCACTTGCCGTATAGTTTAGTTGAAATGCGTATAACGAACTACTGTTATAACGAACTAGGTGTCGCTTTGAGTTATAAGATATAATTATAGTAGACTGCTGTATACGTAAATATTATTGACGAATATACTTTGAAGAAATCTCAAATACAAGCATCAGAGATCAGTGATTATATAAAGGATAGAAAACATTCACGATTATCCGGTAACCCTCGTTGTCTGATGTACCGCAATTCGATGTCCAGAGACTAATGGCTGAATTAGGTTTTAATTCACAGAGACGTGCGTATTGATTCTTGATTGACAGGCGCCATAACCGTGAGCTCGTAAGTTTCATTAAGAAGGTCGAAAACTTCTACAAGTTGCGTGTGAAGCCCATTTTTGGTGTCCCCGCCGTGATATTGCTGGAATATTGCTAAAAGCGGCGTAAAACTATACTCACTCACTCACTCTACAAGTTGTATCGTACTTCCACACGAAGCTAAAAATTCGTGATATCCATGACACACAGATTCAAACGGCGATAAACCCAAATCACTCACTCACTTACTCACAGCCCTAGAAGTTATCCCCATCCTTCCATTGAGATGAGCATTCAGTGCGTTCAGTTATTTTAAAATTTAAACAAAGAAAGATTTGCTCACAAGAAATTTCTGAAAAAACCTTTAACAACCCGGCAACTTATTTCCCTTGGAATGTACGAATTTGATCGGTCTAGTGGCTTCATACCGATCTAGGTCAACTTGCCATTGGGCATTTGAAAATACAGTATGCAAGGCAGGTCTAGACGAACACCACATGTCAGTGTTAGAGCTACCTCGGTACATCTCAAATTCATATCACACTTCCCAGTCATGCACTCAGTTGTATTATTCACACAAGCCATGCACGGCTGTAGCGTTAATCGGTGAATATTGCGTTACAGTGAGGAATACTACAAAGCAAGGAGAAATTGAATAATTCAGATCAGACCAACTGGTCGAGGAATGCTAGAAAGCGCATCATTTCAAGACAAATATCGGTAACTTGAGCATACTGGCATTGTCGTACACGACCCTTTTTCTCTATACGTTCGTAGCCCTAAGAATTCTTAACTTTGATCGTAGCAAATGTGTTAAGAATGGGCTTAAGAAGTTCGTAGGTCTACGAACGTTTCGAGAATAGCTAACTGTCACGTACTCTCGTCCAATTCGTGAAAATTCCTGCTGCAGTACCCCGGCTAAGTCGATATGATAATGAACTATGAACACCTGATAATGAACTATGAACACCTGATAATGAACTATGAACACCTGATAATGAACTATGAACACCTGATAATGAACTATGAACACCTGATAATGAACTATGAACACCTGATAATGAACTATGAACACCTGATAATGAACTATAAACACCTGATAATTAACTATAAACACCTGATAATGAACTATGAACACCTGATAATGAACTATGAACACCTGATAATGAACTATGAACACCTGATAATGAACTATGAACACCTGATAATGAACTATGAACACCTGATAATGAACTATGAACACCTGATAATTAACTATGAACACCTGATAATGAACTATGAACACCTGATAATTAACTATAAACACCTGATAATGAACTATAAACACCTGACTGTGTATTGGTTCCCGGGAGTTAACAGAAGCGTCCAAAAAGAACGAAGGAATCAGGACTCTCCGAAACTAGCGTCGTTGTCTCCTTTTTGATAATATTTGCCTATCTCCACATACAAATAATGACGAAGAGCCTCAGTGTTCAGCCGCATTTGAGCTTTAGCATAACTGCGATGTTAAATATACACTAGACACATTTGAGCATTAGCATAATTATGATGTTAAAAATACAGACACATTTGAGCTTTTATTGGCATAATTGTGATGTTAAATATGCAGACATAAAGCTTTAGAATAATTGTGATGCTAACTATACAGACACATTTGAGCTTTAGCATAATTGTGATGTCACACATACAGACACATTTGAGCTTTAGCATAATTGTGATGCTATATATACAGTAGACACATTTGAGCTTTAGCTTAATTGTGATGTTAACTATACAGTAGACACATGTGAATTTTAGCATAATTGTGATGTTAAATATACAGACACATTTGAGCTTTAGCATAATTGTGATGTTAACTATACAGTAGACACATGTGAACTTTAGCATAATTGTGATGTTAAATATACAGTAGACACATTTGAGCTTTAGCATAATTGTGATGTTAAATATACAGTAGACACATTTGAGCTTTAGCATAATTGTGATGTTAAATATACAGTAGACACATTTGAGCTTTAGCTTAATTGTGATGTTAAATATACACACACATCTGAGCTTTAGCATAATTGTGATGTTAAATATACAGTAGACACATCTGAGCTTTAGCATAATTGTGATGTTAAATATACAGTAGACACATTTGAGCTTTAGCATAATTGTGATGTTAAATATACAGTAGACACATTTGAGCTTTAGCATAATTGTGATGTTAAATATACAGTAGACACATTTGAGCTTTAGCATAATTGTGATGTTAAATATACAGTAGACACATCTGAGCTTTAGCATAATTGTGATGTTAAATATACAGTGTACACATTTGAGCTTTAGCTTAATTGTGATGTTAAATATACAGACACATTTGAGCTTTAGCATAATTGTGATGTTAGATATACAGTAGACACATGTGAGCTTTAGCATAATTGTGATGTTAAATATACAGTAGACACATTTGAGCTTTAGCATAATTGTGATGTTAGATATACAGAATATTTTATAGAATTCTATGCGGAGATATTTAATGCTGAGCTAGAAGAAGCTAAAAGTGACAGAGGATGACAATAAATACACTAGACAAATTCTGTTCCATTTGTTGAAGGACACTGTTTGCATGAGACGGGGCCTCTTTTTGAGGGACACTGTCTGAATTAGACAAGGATAAATTGTTCCCCTTCCAGGACACTGTCTGTATTAGGCAGATATAAAACATGTTTCTCTTGATGAATGAGCGAGTCAAGAAGGACACTATGTGTATTAGACAGATTATATAACATGTTTCTCTTGATGAATGAGCGAGTCTAGAAGGACACTGTTTGTATTAGACGGATATAAAACATGTTTCTCTTGATGAATGAGCGAGTCTAGAAGGACACTGTCTGTATAAGACGGATATAAAACATGTTTCTCTTGATGAATGAGAGAGTCTAGAAGGACACTGTCTGTATTAGACGGATATAAAACATGTTTCTCTTGATGAATGAGCGAGTCTAGAAGGGCGTTGTCTGTATTGGACGAAGATAAATCATGTTCCCCTCAATGAAGGACACTGTCTGTATTAGACGGATATAAAACATGTTTCTCTTGATGAATGAGCGAGTCTAGAAGGACAATGTCTGTATTGAACGAAGATAAATCATGTTCCCCTTGATGAAGGACACTGTCTGTATTAGACAGATAATACAACATGTTCCTCCTGTTGATAGGCACTGTCCGTATTTCGTGGGGGTAAACCTTATTCCTCTTGTTGCAATACACTGCCTGCATTAGACGAAGATGAATCATGTCTTCTTCGTTGAAGACAACTGTCAGTATAGGGCAAAGATCTCTGACGCTAACCCTACATGATGGAAACAGCCTCGATCCTATAAATAACATTACCATGAATACTTCTCTTTAGGAATCCTACAAAGTGTCAATGATCGAATACTGTACTAGAGCAAAGAAAAAGAAATACTTGAACATGTCAGGTAGGAACAAAAGGAATAGAAATAAATAACAAATGCACAGCAGATAAATAAAAATATCAAGCCAAGGATTTAACCTGATTATTATTTTGTTGCATAGCAATATCTTCAGACTGATGTTTCGGGTCAGAGAGATGTGGTTTTCTATGCTTCAATCAAATACAATCGACAGCTTGAGTTGTGATAAATCTATTCTTATTTCTGACACATGTGGCAGGCAAACATATTATTAATCACGAACACGTGACTTTGTCAAATGTAGGTGTTAAACTGCTAAAGTCGTGTATGCATACGTACTGTGTAATGTTACTGAAATATGAGACTGGAGACCCACCCACCCAAAGCTAAAAATATATAACTTGAGCAGGCCGAATAACATCAATCGTTAATTATTTTACTATTTATTTGTAACGACGCAATAGCCATGCTAGCATTTGTATTGATGTTATGTGATTTTAGTTTTAATGGCACTCAAGATATAATGAGGTATACAAGATATACTGAGGACAGCGTATTTTATGTGTCGCGGTTGGGTGAATACTTCCAGGTGTATACAGTTCGTAAATATTTAAATATCATAAAGATTTATTATTACATGTACATACGTAAATTAATTAACCTGCTGGAGGTTACCTATCTGACAAGTCTCACCAAAACGGAGGTGTAAAAGAAAGTATACCGAGTTTGTTGTATATGTAACTGAAATCTTTGCAGTTTGTTTATGTCTGTTTAACCGCCAGTCATTCCCGCACCATTTTGTAAAAGTAATCCGTGGCTGGGTAACTGTGAGTAAATGGAGAAAATGGAGACTGGTCTAAGAAATGTATTTCTTCCATTCCCTATCATATCTGATATATGTTCAATTTGTCCCGATAAAAAGCAAATATATTGATTTCAACTCATCGACAGCTTGGTAATATTCGAGTATTTAAAATTTAAGTTTAGTTCAGTTTGTTTCATTTAGCAGAAATAAAAGGTATGAACAAATCAGCTGAAGGGTATGGTTCATGCTCTCTCAAAATATAAAAACGGAAATTCCTACACTTTAATGCAACTTTATCCCCCCATTGAGCTGCTCAGAAATACCTGGACCCATTCTGAACGTTCTAATGCTATAGGTTTACAACCGATCAGGTCAGCATAAATGACTCATTGGCCATATTATATATTTCAATAGATAATGATACTGCAACAATATAAAATAAACATTGTCATGAAATCCATATGATAATAGAATATAGTGAAATATATAAGTCATCCCAGTATACCTGTAGCCATGTCATTGTGTGTTTAGTAATATCTCTATGCACATAAGTCGTGGGTTTAAACTGACAGAATGCTTTTCAGCTCAACGACTTTAGGGCAAGTTTGTAAGTAATCCAGTGAGTAAATAGGCTAGGTTTAAGAACCCAGCGACCCCCATAAGTTAAAACGTGAAAGTTTAAAATCAACAGCTGAACAGCATTGTTTCCCACCCCACTGACCAGGATAAGTACAATGTGAAAAAGCTCATGTAAGCTCAACGGCATTAAAATACATGATTTCAAATGCTGTAATTGATAGAGGTATATAGTTTATCTAAAAAACTCTCATCTCCACTATTTTTATATCCCATACCTATTTGACACCTACAGACCCGAACCGTACGCCCTAAAAACATTACCAAACAATAACTTCCACTTTTTGCAATGTACCCGCAAGATATACATAATTACTGCATATTCAGAGCAACGGATTAACATGCGTATCCTAGTCCTTGCAGTTTCTGGTACATATTTCCTAAGCAATCTGACAAATAACAATGCGATTATAGTCTGTTTGCGGTGAAAACGTACCGATGAATTTCACTTTAAACAAAAAAGTAAATCAAATAAAGTGAAATTAAGATTGCAAATCCTCATAATTTTACCTTGCCATTGGAAAATTTAATTCTCAGAATTTTATTCAACTTATGATAAATGTTGTTTCACATACGATCATAGTTTCAAATCGGTATTATTGGTTTGTATTACAAGGGGGTATGCACATTAAATGAAACACCGAGAACAAGGAGGGTTGGTCTAAGTTAACGCTCATCACGTACCGTACGTGCATTTGTTTCACTGTTCCAACTACTGCGCTTATCCCCTTGTAATACAAACAAAAATAAGCGATTTGAAACTTTGATCGTTTGTTAAACAACTTTTTTCCTAAGTTGAATAAAAATAAAGATTTAAAGTTTCAATTGGCAAGGTAGAATTATAAGGTTACGCAATCTCAATTTCACTTTATTCCATTTACATTTTTGTTTAAAGTGAAATTCACCGGTACGTTTTCACTGCAAACAGACTATAATCGCATTGTTATTTCTCAGAATGCTTAGGAAATATGTACCAGAAACTGCAAAACATTTCTCATTTAAAGCGTATAGTTATGTCTTATTTGTCGCTTGTCATTTTGCTATTTAAGAGACTCATCAAGTCTAGGCTCTGGCGTCAAGTGAGAGATAGGTGTAGATTAGCAGACACTGTTTCCCGAACAAGATGCATTCTTGTTGCACACATATCCCACGAATAATTTATCAAACAATCTCCACAGAAATAGGACGGTTAACATTAAAACAGGAAAACATATGGCTCGTCAACATCAGGTTATAGCTGTTGTGTTCTTCTAGCGTTGTAAATATTAATGTTGTCATGACACGACGAGGCAGAATGAATGCCAGGTCATCTATGACGAACGCTCTGGCCGTCGCATGTGTAAACAATGTTAAACTATGGCAAGCCCCTGTGTATGTATAACCATATGACTTGGATACCCCGTGTACCTCACACGTGTACAGGTATAAGGTTGTTGTGTCGCGAGGACACCTGTCTCAAAGAGACTACAGTGAACACAGCCATTGCACATATTTGTGTAATGGCCGCCTGCCGAGGTCAAGGGCTTGGGGTTTCACGTAGACTGGCTTCATGAAACCGCAGTATATTGATCCTGTTATGGTCTGGTATGATGAATGGTAGCAATCTGATAGCCAGACAGACTCGGCTGTCAGTTTGTCATATATAGTTGTTTGTGTCGAATGTACTTGGATTACACGGTTGGTTGCCCAACTCGCATTCCTGTGTACCTGCCTCTACACGCCGACTACATCTTGAGCTCACAACGACTACCAGTCCCCAGAAAATAAAATTTTAACGCACACACATACACATACACGCACACGAACACACACACACAAAACAAAACAAAACAAAACAAAACAAAACAAAACAATTTTTTACATAAAGAAGCGAAGTTCTGCAGTATATACTGTGCTGTGAGTTCGTGTGTAAACAACGTGTATATATAATAACAATTAAATATTGTGATTACAGTCAGTTGTTGTATAGTTGTTTACAATCACGTTTGGCAATCCATTGAGAAAACAACATTAACTACAACAGGTGCACTAACAGGTGAAGTGAACAAAGTCCTTTATGCATATACTGACACCTACCTCTCGGATGTGTTGCAAATGTCTCTTCTAAATCCTGTTATATAATAACATCATGTTATAGCCTCAGACGAGCTCAACGAGAATATATCACTAGACACATTTCCGCTCCACTTAACACGAGAAGCTCGTCGTGTACATCCTGTTGACCGCTCACCAGTGCTTCGGTTCAAACTTTAACAATGAATAGACACACTAGATCAAAATCTCGTTTGCTTGGTTTGTTGTGGTCTTCAGCTTACACTGACAATGGAGTTCATGTAGTGCAGCAAGCCCTCTGAAACACTGCGGAACAGTTAATAGGAGTGAGTTTGTGTCCACGCTGCTTGTATCATTATTCAGGTATTAGTTTTGGGGCTATATATAGTTATGTCCAAAACGACACAGGCTTTCAGACAAGTGGAGAACTTTTGACAAATCACGGAGTTTCTAGATTCCTGGTTACATTTGACTTCCCTTTGCATGTGTTTTTAATGGCTGCCATATAAACTACTGTCCAAAAGAAACGATACCACGTGTTTCAAAGATCACTAAATGAAAACAAAACAACATAAACATTTCAAATTGATATCTTTCATTAGATAAATGATTTTACGGCATGTGTACAAAAAGTCATGGCAATCAAAGATTTACAATCATGAACACAGGGCTTTAAACGAAGTGTGGTGCCCAAAATTCAAAATTCATTTTAGCACAGTGGAGGAGGCTAGTGAGGGTAGTCTCTGAAAACAGTCTTAACGCCACTTTAGTACCGGGTATGTCCACCAGCAGCTGCGATACATGCCATGACACGCCTCCGAGCTGATGACGTCTTGTTCTTGAAAACGTTGGATGACGTTAGGGATGATTCGCTGCCACTCATCCAGGAGACAATGTTCCAATTGTTGGAGGTTGACTCGGGGCATTTTCTGATTTTTGAGGTGATCCCAGATGTGCTCAATGGTATTCAAATCTGGTGAACACGCTGGCCATGGCAAAACCTGTATGTTGGCGTTGGCAAGGAAGTTCTGGGTCAATCTTGCCGTATGAGGCCTAGCGTTATCGTGCTGGAACACGATTCCTCCTGGATGCTGTTGGGCGAATGGCTGCACGACTGGTCGTAAAACCACATCTTGGTAACGCTGTGCATTCAGGTTCCCCCGAATAATGACGAGCCTCGTTTTCACATCACCGCAGATACCTCCTCACACCATTGCACTTCCGCCTCCAAATGCATGGACTTGCTGGATGCAGTTCGGCGCCAAACGTTCACGAACTCTTCGGTATACTCGCTGCCGACCATCGTTCTTGTAAAGGCAAAACCTGCTTTCGTTCGAAAACAAGACACGTGCCCAGTTTCGACGTTGCCACCGCCGAACACGCATGGCCCATATCAATCTGTTGACTGTTTTGACGTGTCAGGTAGACTCTGCGGTAGGGGCGACGTGCACGGATACCATGTGCCTGCAGTCTCCTGTAGACGGTTTGTCGACTGATCCGGTGTCCCAGTCCCGTTGCCGCCGTTAACGTCGCAGGAACGAAGCGGTTACGTAGGTGAAGTAACCGGATGTGGTTGTCTTGAATAGGCGTGGTCACCCGGGGTCTCCCGCTTCTCGGCCTGACTGTTGTTCGGACTGTTTGACGCAACCGTCGCATTAACCTGGTAACGGTTATGCGTACGCATCCAAACGTTCTTGCTACAGCGGCGTGTGATGCTCGCTGTAGGACCATTCTAACGGCTCTTTCTCTCTGGATCGCTGTCAAACGTGCCATTTCTTGTGTGTGCTTTTTACTGCTGTGGGCACAACGTGTCGGACCAGCGGTTTTCTACAGTTCATCTGCACGTGCATTTCGTGCTACACGACTTAACGTCATTTTGAGTATTCGTGCGATTGCTTCTTAAGTGAATAAATGTTACCGTTTTTTTCGATCGAATACGTTTGGTTAGGAACGTGGGATACACAGAAATATGTTTTTTCTCCAAAAAGTATCATTAATTTAAAAATATTGAAAAAAATATTTGGTATCGTTTCTTTTGGACATGAGTTTAGGTGAGGCAGGATACGGTGACCTTTTTACGAACACTAGCGTCATCACGAATCGATCATGAATCAAACATATGCGGCAGTTGACATCGTACTATCCGATTATGGTATGAATTGTCGCTTACATCTATAAATATGTGTGTGTTGCATGAAAGTAGGCCATGAGTCAGTATTCACACCGACATCTGGTATATTAAACATCCCTGCCATTTCATGATGACAAAAAGCGCTACACATGCAATCAATTTCTTTGCGGCAAATGAACATTGTAGATTTATATATGCAAGTAAAACGTCACTGAAATGCACATTGTTGATTTCTATATGTAACTCTGACGTCACTGAAATGCACATTGTTGATTTCTATAAGTAAATCTGACGTCACAGAAGTGAAGCTGAATCATAACTTCATAGCTTGAAATTATTTGAATATTTACATTAATAAAATATTTGAATATGGTTTGACCACACATAGATCTTAAATGGAAGTGCTTTACGTTCACAGAAGTATCTGGTTCTGTTTTTGAAATTAATTAGTAGAAGGTTCCTTGGATCGCATTACTTGACAACAGATTCGAGGAATCTTGTAACTGGGAATGTTTGATGCCAGCTAATCATTTGTACATTACAGCCAATTTGATTTTAACGTATATATTGTGTCGATTTCAATAGGTTTGATAAGTTAGTATGCATGAACGTTAAACCATTCTAATTTGTCATCCAGTTCGCTATCCACATCCAGAGACCATATAATAGGACCTGTATTATATGGTCTCCGATATATCACAGTGTATTTGTCATGTGAGTGTAAGAATGGAAAATATAAATATGGCCATGGAACATCTACATGTATATCATAATGGTTTGGTTCCGATACGCCTTGATAATGTTCCGAAGTTCTCCACTACTGCAATAATACAAATATGACAATTATTTATTTATAAAGCGCCTAATATCAACCGTAGTGGTGCTCAGTGGCTCAATTCACAATACTCGTTAATGTACAGCCAACATACCTTTGGTCTTTTCTCCTTCAGCGAGCAGGCACGTGGTGATAGAACCGATACACTACTGGAAGCTTTAAAATATTTCCAGACACAAGCATGCCACAATACACATTACTTGATACGAAGCTCCACTATACTATCTCCACCACCGCCACAACTAACAGCACCACCGCCTTCTACGATAACGTATTCTGTCAGACATATACGTTATGCGGTACAACTATGTTATACTGACACAGATACATGCACCATTGTTCTCATATTGACTTGTATGGTAAATAAAATGTATTGTGTTAGGCATATACATACTGAAGCATGTACACACACATGCACTATAATGTTTATACTGATCATGACGAAAATAATTGTACAATAACATATACTCATGCCAATAATGGTTGTCACCCCCAGCCTATTAATATACTAGTAATTGAAGAGGGTGACAACCATTATTGGCATGAGTATATTTAAATATGTTAGTAGGGTTCTTGTGTACTGAGTAAGGATTAAACAAACAATTCGCACATACTACGGCTATTTCAATGTGCCAATGTACCAATTCATAACGCACGCGCGCAATCACGCGCACGCACGCACTCACACAAATCTCGAAGCCGTGGAAGAAAATACGGATAAGTAAACATAAAAGCTGTTTATAAACACATCGACATTACTGACGCGCCGAAACGCAACTAATGGGCGTGAGCGGTATAAAGGGGACCGGGTATGTTCCTTACCTGGGTTGACTAAAGGATATGTTATTGACACCACTGTCGTCACTGACTCGACGATGTCGTGGGCACTGTTGTTGACGTTTGCTCTAACAGGTAAGTGGATAGTTAGAGTGTATGCTGTTTAGATGTACTGTTACACGAAAATAAAAAATGCAGATATAAAGTAAAGTAAGCAATACCTGTTGCTGTTATTTTCCTTTAAGCGGATTGGGAAAATATATACTAGGATGTGTAAATAGTTTCTTTGTCGGGTATAAATAAGAAATATTTCTGAATTATGTGTCAATATAAACTACACATGTTTGCGTGTTGGTTTGATTTGGTTATATGTTTTTGATTAACGCAACAATCAGCAATATTCCAGTTATGTGACCGTGGTCTGTAAACAATCAAGTCTGGACCAGGCACTCATTGATTGCCTTCATATTATTGTATACTCCCCAGGGAGTTGAGATTGATAATACGCTGTACCGATGAGATTGACATCCAATGAGCGAGGGAAAAATACTAGCGCCTTGAGCATGCACTAGTTGCCTGGATATGTGCGCTATATAAATAACCTATCATCATCATCATATTTATCTATCTACGCAATTTGGGTACGCTGACATGCACCAACCGAGTTACCATGCATGGCCTGTACAACCCCAATATGTAAAATCAACACAATATGTAAAAACTAACGCACATGGCCACCCGATCCCGTTACGACAAAAAGAGGTTACTGAAGATCAATTCTAAACAAGATGTTTACTGGTAATACTAGATGTACACCCTGGGGATACGCCCCTCCTAAATACGCCCCTCCTAAATCCTTTGACTGAAATTTTCAAACAGCGAATAAGACGTTTACGATTTCAATCTCGTCAACCGTGCCAAGCTGCATCGGACACATGCATCTGCTCCCTTCACCTTGCACAACAATCTTAACGCATGTGTTATATTGAATGCCTGTGATATATTGAGGTGGTATATTCACTAGGTTCTGATGCACGCTGGGTCTTTAATTACAAACTTAAAAGACCCGATGAACATGTTGACAAACCTAGAAACGCCCTCAATTCCTCAACACCCCCACCCCACACCACTCGACATCTCCAGCAGGGTGCGACCTGTTGTATACTATACATATTGTACAGAGGGCACTATAGGCCTACAAGGGACAATGTGAGCTGGGGATTCTACGTGAGGGGGACAATGGGGCCATACACACACCTAGAAAGCTTTCACGGGGTGAAGGATATATATTATGTTGATATATTTACATTGGAATGTTCATGGAAAGTGGGTTCTGTATACCAGCTAAGAACGGTGTTATGTTTTCAAAAACAGGTATAGACATAGGTACAGTCAGGAGACATTCACGTGCACATATATACTCCACCAGATACAAACATACATGTACGAATATTGACCTGTCATACAGTATATCTACTGTAATATGTTAAATAGGTCATTTGATATTGACCGTATGATATATTTAATATGTCTACTGTATGATATCTTTAGCACGTACCAATACGCCTTACTAGAATTTCCTAGTTTTGCCTTAGGCGGTAAGTTTGTTTGTCGTTTAACCCCATACTCAACAATGTTCCAGCTATATGATAGTCTGTAAATAATAGTCCAGGAGCTTCGATTTATTTCTATTAATTTATCAACACGTATCAAATAGATCTTATTTGTGGTCTTTAGAAAATCAACAACACAAGTGATGCTATTTTGATTTTATGCAGCGGTGAGAGAGAGAGAGCTGTTTATTTCAGTAAAGGGGCCACAGGCCCATTATACATGTTGTACCATCCGCACAGTTTATCAAGCGCCAATATAATAATTAACATAGATGCTACGGGGCAGGATACACATCAGGATATAGAGATATCGCAATCGCAAAAACGTATTACCTTTTTTAAGAGCTAGGTCTAAATATTTTCCCAGATCATTAATGACAATTATATTCCTTGACAAGAACAGTTGAAACAGCTACTCATGTGATCGGAGATTATAGTAATATTTGGGAATTGTATTTTCTCTAAAACCATTGTATTATGGACTTTATGCAGCGGTAGATGAAACATGTTTAGTCATGTTAAAAGTTAACGGTCGGTATGAGTACAGTTTGGAAGAGTAATCACCCACATCTACATGTATACGTAACGCGTCGACAACTTGCTGATATATTTAACTATGGTGTATATCAATAGTATGGCTCAGACACAACAACATGACAGTTGCATGCAGTATGTTTAGATATATCACTTGGGTACAAAACAGTGTACAGTTCCTAAGTGAAAGGGGCGGACGGAGGGATAGCTTGGCGCCTAAAGCGTTAGCGCGTCAGGCCGACGACCCGGGTTCGATTCCCTGCTTTGATACAAATGTAAAGCCAAATTCTGGTGTCCCACCCCCGCCCCCACAAACACACACACACACCCACCCGCCTTGATGGTGCTGTAATATTGATAAAAGGGAAATAAAATCCTGTCCACTAACTCATATCAACGATACACTATAACGCTTAAAGACGCCAACAATATATATTTGCTCCTGTATCACCCAACCTTGAAGGTAGGGACATCGGAAACATCTGGGTGGTATTCTTTTCCCATGAGAAAACAAGGAAGGAATACTGTCACACAAATGCAACATGCAAGTGCATTGGTGCTATTCATAAAGCGAAAAACAAAAAAAATAAACAAGGTCTCATGCTAATTGTCATATACTCGCTAATCCCTTGTATAATGTTAAATTTGTATGTGTCCCATTGTCATATACTCGCTAATCCCTTGTATAATGTTAAATTTGTATGTGTCCCATTGTCATATACTCGCTAATCCCTTGTATAATGTTAAATTTGTATCTGTCCCATTGTCATATACTCGCTAATCCCTTGTATAATGTTAAATTTGTATCTGTCCCATTGCCATATACTCGCTTATCCCTTGTATAATGTTAAATTTGTATCTGTCCCATTGTCATGTACTCGCTAATCCCTTGTATAATGTTAAATTTGTATCTGTCCCATTGCCATAAGAGCCTAAAGAAACATGCTCATTAAGTCGGACACTTCATTAAAGGTAAACAAAATTGTGTATATCTTTAAAAATAATTAATAAAAGTTTTAAAAAATATTTATGTCCATGAATACACGTAAAATACGTTAGTGATCGGAATTTATTGTATCTGTATAAAACGCTGATTAACTATGAGCAAAATCTCCTCTCTTCATAATGAAGTCATTTTACTCTCGAATGCACAATAGTATTGTCTTGAGAAAATGTTACTTCTCGACAGTCAGCCTTATAGGCAGGTGAGTGTACATTACCTGTTATCTGTAACATAATGATCCATTTCAACCTGCCACATCAAGCGTAAACAAACAACAGGTGCTGCTATAGGCAACGTTCTCGTTAACTGTGATTCTTATATACCGTCAGATAAATATGTCCAAATGTATACCGTCATACAAATATGTCCAAATGTATACCGTCATACAAATATGTCCAAATGTATACCGTCATACAAATATGTCCAAATGTATACCGTCATACAAATATGTCCAAATGTATACCGTCATACAAATATGTCCAAATGTATACCGTCATACAAATATGTCCAAATGTATACATAATATGTCCAAATGTATACCGTCATACAAATATGTCCAAATGTATACCGTCATACAAATATGTCCAAATGTATACCGTCATACAAATATGTCCAACCGTATACCGTCATACAAATATGTCCAAATGTATACCGTCATACAAATATGTCCAAATGTATACCGTCATACAAATATGTCCAAATGTATAGCGTCATACAAGTATGTCCAAATGTATACTGTCATAATACAAACATGTAACCACATATATAATTGTCACGATACAAATTCATGTATCTTCAAATATAGTCCCTTACGACACAGGCAAAGAAACATACCCCTACAATGCAAACATGCAAACATATGTGACAATATGGTAATATATATGTACACATGGGCTACAAATTGTGTAGCTAGAAAACAAATATTATGAAAACTAACACGGCAAATGCTTGAAAGTTTCCACCCCGAAACAGATTATATGCCCAATGCAACCATCGTACCTAACGTACCTTGACAGACAGCTAGACGACAATGTATGCAATGTGTTGTACCATATGTTGTCCTCAGTGTAAAACTCTTCTTAAATCTATATCATATACAAGGTAGTAGAACATTGTGATCATCCACGTCTTTGTGGTGTGTTTGACAGACATTGCCTACAGTCATAACAGATGAATACTTCACCCTGTTAGATATTTGGAAAACTAAGCTTAAGGCTATGTCGTGTTACAAACTTGCATAGCATCTGCCTTCTATCTAGGTCTGTTGTCACAATCAACATTCTCTTTAAGACGAGCAATATTCCAGAAGACCCAGCCTCTAGTTTATACATTTCACAATACATGTACTAGTTTGTGAGTACGATAGAGCATTCTCTTTTCATACCGATTTCAAACATTCTCAAAAGCTTTGTCAGTAAAGGTTTGAAGAAGATCAATGGCATATATACAAAGGACATTTTCAAATTTATAAATTACTGACAAAAATGCAATTCCTATTTTCAATTGTGCCATATGTTCTCGTGTACGTTTACATGAACAATTCAATTTGCACGTATTTTTAACGGTGGCACCGACACACTACATACAATACATTCGGAATTGGAATGACTCAGGAGTCGACTTTCAGACGAGATTTCTGATGAATATTATGTATTGTTAGCTTGAAATCCATGTGAATCAAATGTAATATCCAAACCTGTAAACATTAGCTGTATACTACTCTTTTTCAACGTTAGTGTTTTTGTTTAGAGAAATATACTGAAATCTATGAACACTTATTTCCTTAGGGTTCAGCCGTCATCATAAAAAATGAAAGTCCAGTCTTCTTTATGAAACACTGACCTAATCATCCAAGTCAGCCATTGGGCGTCACGGCACGCCGCTAGCGTATTTGCCACCTAACGTTAATTCGCGGGGCATGTGATATAGCATTACGCTTGTCTAAACACTTTTCTCACTCAAAAGAAATCTGAAGCAATGTTTAA